CCCCCCCCCCCCCCCCCCCCGCCCCCCGCACCTACCCGATCCGCGGGACGACGAGTTGATCCCGCTCGCTCCTCGCCGTAACCGTCGTGACGACGACGACGCGGACTTCTTGCCTCGCCGCTTGCCGAGAGCCCCGCTTCTCTCCAGCACCTCCCTCAGGCAGACGTTGAGAACGAGGGCCATGACACCCACGGTCTGGAGCGCGACGAACGAGGCTAGCTCGAGGGAAAACCACACGGTGCCCCGGGAGAGGCTGGCGTCGAAGCAAAGCCAGGCCATGCTGAGAGATATTGAGAAGGACACAGAGTCACGGGTTGATGATGAAGACACGGGGGTGGAAGTGAGATGGGAAAATGGCAGACACACCTTGTTGGAGGCAGGTGTGTTGATCGAACTTGTTTTTGCAAGGATCGAAGTCAGATCGTCTATCGTCGCTAGATTGCAGCATCGTTGCCCGCAAAACGGTCTTCCACTGCCGTCTACCGAGATGCTCAAGAATCAGCGATTGTTCACAAGGTGGGACGCCTACGTGGCATGCGTGCCGTCCATGCCTTCCCGGAGAAGGACTCAGCAAAATCCTGTTCTCGTCGTCAAGGGATCAAGTTGCACTCTGCACGCTCCCCAACAAGCGCGTCCCGCACAAATCGATACGACAGGCTCAATAAATGTTGTGTAGCGAACATTTCTGCTGCGGTTGTTACGATTGTGTGAGCTATTCTCATAGCACGTGCAACCGAGGTTTCAATACACCGTGAACCGCTGCCAGCAGAAACCAAAATCTTCCCCAGTTCTCGCTCCGCTTCCATCATTACTCACAACACGTAAAAGGGAGCCTTGAACCACCACTTCTGCAGCGCTCTGAAGTTGGCCTTGGCGAAAGGGGTGTCGAGCTCCGCAAGCACGCCTCCAACGCCGAACAAAACCAGGTAGGACCTGACGAGCCTGTCCTGGACTGGCGAAACGGAACAGGCGCAACGCGAAAGGTTGATCACAGAACCAAGGCGGACGGCACCTCGAAAGTGTTTGGTTTCATTGTCGCGTATAGCATAGCGGTAATAGCGGTGAGAGGGTTGGGCCCGGCCGTGCTGCAAGATTTCACGCGGGAAAATTCGCAAGGGCCACACTAGCAGCACGTAGCAGGAACGGCAGCAGGAACAGCAGCAGGAACAGCAGCGCTCCGGACTATCGTACACCAAGACCCATTTTGAGAGCAGCGTGCGCGACGAAAACACGAGGTGCGCTATTACAGCCTCTCTTCCCAGAGGCTTCAGCAGCTCCCACAGTGTTCAATCATCGTGAAGGTTGACAAATATGCAGGCTACGTGGTGAAAAACATGCAGGCTACGCTCAACGGCACATGGTTATGCACAAACCTCCATGCACGAAAAACAAAACAAACAGGTATGGTACATATCACAAAAGAACGCACGGACAAGGAGGACGCGAGAAGCTCACGTCCAAAGTCGGGCCTCATGTAGACGAGTGTTGCGTTGAGCCCCGAGGTGTAGAAGCACGCCCCCACCCCGACCACCTTCATGGCGTAGTACAGGACCCGAACGATTCTCCTCGCCCGCCGCTTCGCGGCCAACCGCTCTTGTCGGTCCTGCGAAACAACGAAACGCCCAAGGACAAGCGTGTTAGGACGGCCCGACCTTGGCATTGATACACAGGCATCTCAATCAAACCGGCCGCCACACGCGTGAGGCGGAAAGCAGCAGCGCGCGCGTTCGTGGGCCGGGGGTTCGAGAAAATGTGCTGCAGTAGCGAGTACGGTTGAAGAGAGAATGTTTAAGAGAAAGAACCGGTCTGAGAGAGTCGAGGTGGCTTGTCACGACCGAAATCGATTTCAGAGAAATATTGCCATGTTTCTGAGATTTTCTCTCAAACCTAACCTCTAACAAGAGCCACGTAGCCGTCGCACACACAACTTGCAGACGACACGCCCTGCGCAGCAGCCAGACGCTGCACAGCGGTCCCCGATCACACCCTAGGCCCACCAATTTCACAAACCACCGTTCGTGAGCGAAAGAATGAACGTGCAACGAAATGTATCATCACACGATATCATTCATAATACGTTTCCGACACAGGTATCAGGAGTGCACCCAATGCGGTGGGTACACCGCTCACCAAGCGAAGACCAAGAAGCATTATTTTTTGGCAACGCGTGGAGCTAGCCTAACATGCCATAATAACTGGCGTGATGTAACATGATGAGTTATATGCCCTCCAAAAAATCCTTTCGCTGGTTGAAACGGGAGCGTCTATATTCCATGGCCATTTAAATGCTACGGTGTAAGATAATATTCCCCTAGAACACGTGCACGGTTCAAGACAATATTCTGTTAAACCCTAGCCAACACGGTATAAGAGAATATTCTCTTAAACCGCTCTTAAACCGTAGCTAACACGGCGGTATTAGATAAAGCACGTTTTAAGTGAAAAATAGAGGATAGTCACCATCCTCTCTTAAACCGTAGCCGCTTCTGTACCATGGATGGAGTATGCATGATGGTGTAACTTCCATCGCCCATTGTGTAAGCCGCCATGCCGCGGGGGTGCGCGCACGCACGGCAAGCCTTCCGGTCCAAGCGACATGAAATTGGCGACGGGCGACATGCATACAACAAATGAACAGGACTAAAACATGAACCTCACACGCCAACGTCAAATGGGGTGGGGGTGGAGTCTCTTGGATGGCTAGAACAAGACCCCCCACGGGGCTACCTGAACGGTTCCACCGGAGGCCGGCCGGAACTGAAGTGATTGGTCGGGCATAAGCCACGGGTGCAGATAACCGAAGTGTCGTACCGCCTGGACAAAGTTTTTCATTACCGCTGTGTACAAGATGTCTTGTTTTTACTAGTTTTTTTTTTTTAAGTGTGGCCCGTTTAGGGGTACGCTTTTTGTTTTGTTTTGCAAAAAAAAAGCTGTTTAGAGGGATCGTGGGTGGAGTATGTGCGCACGAGAAAAAGAATAATTTTCATGCACAGGGGCGTGAAAATTTAGCCATGGCTGTCTGTCTGGTGTCTGCGCGCCCTAAATACACAGCAGACTCGAGCCCATTTCACCATCTCGGCACCGAATTGCAAACTAAAACTTGCGCACAACAAGTAACATTTTGCCCGAGCTGTCTCAACCGCTACCTTTGCAATCCGTGGTCGGTGTCTCGAGATAGCACACCGTTTGTGCAAATATATATGTCACATGGACGCATCCCCGGGAGGCGTCGTCATTTTTGTTTTTCTTTGGGCAACAAACTACACGCACGCAAGAAACCACGACGCACTGCCGTGCTGCACACATTGCTGCTGCTACTGGCAAGACACGCACTACGCAGAGACAGGGAACATGGACAAGGGGGGCGGGACACACACACGTACTGCTGTTAGCGACGGCGGAGGGAGCGGGGAACGTTTGGTTGGTCCGGGGTTCATTCATCGCTGATGATGTTCTTGTTGTTGTTTCCGTTGTTTGTTGTTGTTGTTCAACGCAGCCGGCCTTTTTTTCGCCTTTTTTCCTCTGGAGAGAGAGGGAGTCCCACCAACCAGCGTGTGTTGCACACACCACACAGCGAGAGCGGGACGGGAGCAGGGTGTGCCCTATACTACTGCTGCTGCTAGCTTTCGGCGGAGGAAGCGAGAGGAGAGATATTGATTGGGTCTCTGTGGGTCCATCGGTTGGTTGTTGTTATTGTGTTGCGACGCGGCGGGAGGGAGCGGCCTCTGACTCTCTCTGCTCTGGAGAGAGGCACACATACATCACAGCACGAGACCAGTAGAACATCACGCTCGTTCCTATTGTAGT